TCTTATTAAAACCTCATGTGACTGGGACATCAGCTCCCTACATCTCGTCGTTCAACGCTACTTTCCAGAAGCTGGCAGCACTACATGCATGATTAAGAATGTGTCACATATCCCTGCTCTAAATGGGTCTCTGTCCATTTGCCCATCCATGTCAGATCCGTTTCAAAAGCAAGTTTATCGTGTCACATTAGGAGTTCTATTTGAGTCTGGTAGAACGAGTTACTACGCCATAACAATTGATGATGCCAATGTTGTCTTGTCGAGGTCTGAAGCTTACGATCAGGAGGAGGTCAGTCGGGATTTCCTGAGATTTCCTGAGTTCAGAATGCAAGAGCATATACCTTGCTGGGGAAATAACGATGAACTTTGTTTACTGTATACTTCACAAGCCATGTCTATAACAAAGCCTCCAACCTTGTATTCCACGAACGCTTACATGATAGATTTGGTTTTCAGCTACTTGTCGAACTCCAATAACTCACCGACACATTACAAACCCTTTCATGTCAGCTATAGGATGCTGAGTCACCAGAAAAATACTCCTAGTGTAGGTTGCCCGACAAACTTTGTGCACTTCAAAGGCAAGTGCTATACCTTGCTGGCGTCAGCTCAAAAGTTAACCTGGTTGCAGGCACAACGACAATGTCAGGGTCTGAACGCGTCTCTAGTAACGGTACATAGCACACTGGAGTTGGATTTTTTGAAATCACGCCTGTCCACTGACTGGCTTGACAAAGTGACACGGTCTGGCAGGAATTTGGTGTACATTGGATTGATTCGGAAAGAGGTGAGTCTACAGAAACCATCTACAATGTGCAATTAATCATGGTAAAGGCACTCTGCCAAAAGATACAAAAAAGGAATCATGTATATTGGGAATACAACTAAATAGAATAATATAGATAAAACAATAATGCAACGAAATATAAAACACTTGGTAAGTTATAACATGGTTCAAAGTTTTATATTCATTTTTGTAACGAAGACACAAACATATAAAAGTCATTTTTCCCTTCCCACAGATAGAGAACGTGTGGACAGACGGTGCACCGTTAGGATACGCTGAGTGGTATAACCCATCTCTTTCTAGAAGCCTCGCTGCAAGCTTTTTAGATTACGCAGAGTCATTAAGACGCATACCAGCGGAGGATTACCTCAATCTTGATCTTGACATTAAGCACCCGCCAAATGAAAGGTCGAAGTCTTGCTCGGCCATGTTGATTCTAAATTCCCGTTACAGCACTAACTGGGTTAAGATCCCCTGTCAATATCCGTTTTCTATACAAAACGCAATATGTAAGAAGCTTGCATCTGAGATGGCTCACGATGAACGAAACGTCCCAGAGCCTCAGCCATCTGGAGTTGTAACACCGCCATACTGTCCTAGTGGAACATTTCCACTGAGCAACTCCTGTCTTCATTTCAATGTATTGTTTCCTAATTCTGGAGACCAGTTGACCCATTGTAAACCAAACAATTGTAGTTTCTTACTGGATGATGTCCTCCAAGCAATGGAAGATGCATGTCTAACGAAAAATTCCACCTTGACAACGGTCCTTGAACGCGAGATGCCTCTCCTTACATTCCACGCTGAATTAACGAACATTGCATCAGGCGATATCATCCTTGTTTCAGAAATGGAAAAGAATTCAAAGAAAAACATTTTTCAAATACGAAAGGATAGATTTATTCAAAGGTGGACTTACTCTACCCTTAAACGTGGACAAATAAACCTGTCTCCATTTGGTGTCTTGTGGGTTGTGTGCAACACTTCGGAGGTCATAAAAGAAAATACATCTCCAGCATGTCGCGCGTTCCATTTCACGTGCGACGACGGGACTTGCCTCTCTAACGACCAGCGGTGTGACGGGGATGTCGACTGTTTTGATGGCAGTGACGAGGCACAATGTGATTTGTGTGGGGAAAGTTCGTTCAAGTGCGAGGAAGAGGAAAAATGCATCCCGCTCTCCCATTACTGTGACTTCTTCCCACACTGTAAGGAAGGGTCTGATGAAGTTCATTGTGTTTTCTCCTTGTGCTCCCCTGATGAATACAGATGTCGGAATGGTCAATGTATCCCAATGGACCATAGGTGTGATTTAATTAAGCACTGTCTGGACGGCTCTGATGAACAGGATTGCTCTGTGGGGCATACGACATTACATTCGTTTCAGTGTTTTTCTGGAGATTTAATACCAGTTTCAAACCAACGGGATAAAGTCCCAGATTGCCCAGGACTTTTACAGGAAGACGAAGCTGAAAGCGTCTCTTTTACACCGTACTGCAATGTCTCCAATTGGAACTTAAACAACGAGGACATCTGCGTGTTTGACCATAACGAATATGGAATTCTAGCATCATCTCGCATAGGAACCCATCTCAAATCGTGTGAAAAGGCCACTTGTTCTAGGAGGGACTTACTCAAGTGCCCCGATTCCTATTGTATTCCACGTAGAAAAGTCTGCAATGGGGTAAATGACTGCCCCGGAGGACAAGACGAGAAGTTCTGCTCAAACTACACGTGTCCCGGATCCCTGAAATGTAAGAGCATGCCATATTGCATAGATTTGGTTGAGGAGTGTGACGGGAAGATAGACTGTCCACTACACGCCGACGACGAGATTTCGTGTTCCCTGAAAAAGGTGGAGCTACCAGATGAGTGCCAGTACTCTGGTCATATACTGAAATGTGTCAATCAAAGTCTGACCCTCCTACCTACGCTGTCTGATTACGTAAGGGGTCTGTTTATAGCTCATAATAATTTGCAGTTGAACAAGAAAACGTTCTCAAGGTTCACAATGCTTGTCAAGCTAGATATATCTTTTAACAATTTGCAGAAATTGCCTAAAGAGTTATTTGCAAATTTGGCCAACCTTCTTCACCTGAATATTTCCTATAATAATATTACAATGATTTCAACTAGGTCTTTCTTTGGCCTGAGAAACCTGTTAGAACTTCATTTACAGGGTAACTTTATCACTGTGGTGATGCCTAGAGCATTTGAAGGACTACATAGGCTACGAAAGTTAGACTTTAGCAACATTGCCGTTTCCAGAATAGAAAGCGAGGCGTTTGTTGGCTTAACGAGTCTTGAACATCTTCTATTGGTCAGGACTAACATGTCTGCGTTAGAATCTGGGACGCTCAGGGGGTTGAATAACTTGCAAACCTTGCGCCTCGAGGGTAACCCTTTTCATCAGTTATTGACAGAGTCTGCTTTTGAATCCATATCCTCTTTAGTTTTTATATCTTCTGATTCACTCAAGGTATGCTGTCTTGCCGCCAGAGTGGGTATTGCAAGGTGTGTGCCCATGAAGAGCCGTGCAAGTTCATGTGAACACGTGATTCCCTCCAAGCCATTGGTCTACCTTTCGTGGGCGGCCAGTGTCCTTATGATCCTAAGCAATCTGTATGTGTTTGTTACAGTTACGAACGAGACCACATGCCTGTCAGAAGTACTGATCATGCTGATAAGGACTTTGTCTGTGAACGGCCTGATGGTGGTTATTTATTTGATGATTTTAGCTTCAGCGGAAATTTACATGTACACCGATTTCATTCTGCACATTGGCAGTTGGCCTGAAAGCACTGCCTGCATTGTTGCAGGGACTTGCTCCTTTCTTTTCGCCACTCTGCAGGTTTTTTTAGTTTGCCTCTTGACGTACCATCTTTTAACATGTTTGGTGCTTCAAAACAGGCGCGTGGTTCAGCTTAGTCCATTTCTGATTGTCGTTGTGGTAATAATATTCATCGTTTTATCACTTCCTTTTGCAGTACTGATGGCTATGAAGATTTTGTCAAGATCTGAAACACCTCTTTGCCTATATTTCGTACCAGATGTACACCCCGCGTCCAATGTCCAATACTTTGTCGGATTATACTTGTTGCTTGCTGGTATATCTTTGACCTCCTTCCTGGCAGCACTTGCAACTCTCTGCCACATATCATGCAAATATCATCACCCTGCAGGAAGATCTAGGTCGTCCTCGCACCTAAAAATATTGGGGTTCACGTGTCTGATGAGCGCGTTTTGTTCCGTTCAATATCTGCTGGTGGGACTGCTGCCGTATATAGAAGTCTCAGACGTTGCATATTTATATATTCTGGTGTTGCTACAGCATTGTTCACCACTCATGCTACCCCTGCTTTATGTTACATTTATGATTAGATTGAAAAAATGTTGTTGTAATGGCCTTATAATAAGCAAGAAACGATCATCTTTGGTGCCAGTAAGAGCCAAAAACAACAAGTCGTTTATCATGCCAGGTGAGAATGGAAATAGTCTGGAAACATTGGCAAGTCTCTCCATCCTTACTTCTCACGAGACTATGCTAGAGACCGCACGGCTCTAGTTACATCGTAGCTCTAAAGGCACCGTATTATGCTGTATTTTTGCCTTATTTTTTAGATACATGTAGTGCTTATTTTCGAAAGACATGCAACACTGTTTATCTTTTAAACAATAAATAAATAAATAAAATAAAATAAAATAAAAAATAACTAAAAAAATTCAATGCTCCCTCACAATCATTGCATAAAACACAAAGTTAAATTGCGACGAAGGGATTTTCGCTCAATACGATCTTTAACCTTGTATTTGTCAGGTATTTTGTTATTCATATTACATACCAAGTGTTTGAATACTTATGTAAAGCAGAATTGTTCAGTCGCCAGTAAATGTGTTATTTATTTTTCGTATCACAGGTAATATGGATTGACTGACACCAGCTAACATTCTGCACGTGTGTCTTTCAGGCTGCAGACATAGTAATAGTTTACATGTATAGCAGCGCGAATTGATTTGTTGTAGCTCTTATCTCGCTATTTCGCACTGTAGTTGATAAAGAGTTGACGATTACTCGTTCTTATTTTGATATCGCAGGAAAATAACAGATAGTAAAAACCAACGAATATAATTACTTTCAACATACTGCTAAAGAGATGTCAAGCATTAAACCTTGTGCCGATCACTGACTCCGATTGCATTTTCGTAATTAAATTGCAATATTTATTATTAGGCCCAACCTAGATAACAAATTATCGTTTTAAGTGATATAAAACTTGGAAAGAGGTGATGCTATTGAAAATAAATCGTTTACATCCAAGTGTTTGTGTTTTTAAACATGTACAGAATTGTTCTTTTAGCCAAAAGCTTTGGAAATACATTCCAATATTTGTTTGGCATTCGTTTTAGCTCGGCTGAAATAACATAGCCAGAATGACTTCCATAATGCTGTGAAAGTAACTATAAAATTTACAATATGACAAGTTGCAGATAAAAGAATCACTATTATTGCCTAGCTTTCGACATAATACGCGTACACCTGACTTGTGGTAATCAGCTACTTGTGAGGTCATCCAAGCAACGTTAGCCGATATAAAGAAGAGGGAGAGGGAGCTCCATTATAGATAGCCTTGCTCTTACATCACCCCTCTTCCAATTGCTCATTTCTGAAGGCGTAATGTTGCAATTTCTTTCAATCTCTTTCTACTTGTTTTACCGTTGTCTGTTCGTGGATACTCGTCAAACTCAAGGGTATAGCTTGGCGCCAAAGACCGACCGTCTGGTCCGATGGAAAACCGCTCCTGACACCAGTGACTGAAACTGCTGACGTCAAATAAATTGGAGTCACGAGGTATAACACACGCGCAGAGATCTTCAAACAGACGCTCATCAGGTACCCCAACCACCACTACCTCTTTGATGCACGGATGTTGACGCAGAACTTTTTCTACTTCCATAGGAAACACTTTCACTCCCGCCCTTTTGATCATGTCGTCTGAACGCCCTAACAATACAACCTTGCCGTCTGTCCTACTAAGGGCTATGTCTCCGGTGCGGAACCAGCCACCAGGTAGGAACGTTCTTTCGTTTGCCGAGGGACAGCCGAGGTAACCTCGAAATAGAGCTTCCGATCGAATGCATATCTCTCCAGGGGAACCGGTCTCCACGGTCTCGCCACCTGAGTCGATAAGCTTGATCTCGATTCCATCGTGGATGCTGAAACCATCGTCGTGTAATGTCGTTGTGTCGGTATGACGCTGGTACATGGCAAAACCGTTCTCACTGAGACCATAATGGTACAAGAATGAAATGCCAGGAAAAGACACAAGCACATGCTCTATTGCCAAGCGATCTGTCTTTTGTCCTACTGTCACCACGTATTTAAGGTAACAAAGAGGGAGGCACGTGTCTCCACGGTGCATTAAGTCGACGAGTTGGTAATTCATTAGAAAAGCGTGCGTACACTTCTCCTCATTTAAGATAGCCATAACGAACTCGATAGCACCACGATGCATGACAAAGTCGGTTGTCATAGTGACTGAGCATACACCAAATACACACATATTAAGTATCATGTGGAATCCCCCGGTCCACGCCAACGGGCGGTCATTGAAGAATCTCGTGCCCGCTGTATCTGGCCCTGAAAAGGCGAATTCGCCCCAGGAACGAGTCCTTGCTATCAGTGTCCGGTGACTGCATGGGATAGGTTTTGGCTCCCCGGAACTGCCAGAGGTAAAGAATATTACGCAGTCGTCATCGAGGCCCACATCTGGGATGTTTACCTGGCTAAGGTGGTCAGATATTTTCGCCTTGCCGGACACGTGCACTTCGTTATCACGGGGGCCCATTCCCATGACCATAAATGGTCTTTTCTCCGCCGAATTCTTCCTTTTATCTACCATGAGCGTCTTAATAGTGTTAACTATGGTGACGTCCTTTTCACAGTGCGCACTGCCCAGCAATCCCCTGCTGTTGTTCTTGGTCAACAGCATGCAGACCTCTGCAGCCGTGCTGCCATATCGCAAGAGCAGTATTGGTGCTCCTATCCGAGACAAGGCTAGAAAAGCAACGAAGAACTCTGTGCAATTCGTAGACAGAAGACCAATTATATCGCCTTTTCCAATCCCTTTACTGATCAAGTGTTTGGCCAAATTTAGCGATCGATAACGCAGACCTGAGAACGTCAAGGACTGTCTGTCGTCTTGAGAATGATAGACAACGCATGCGTCTTGATCGGGGGACTTCTTCGCCATTTTGTCGAAATAGTCATGCATTGTCACACATATTGGCAGACACTGCACGCGCTCGCTAACTGGATGCTGGTCCATGGCTGCAGCTTTTGTCGCCGATCTGATTTACATTAACCACAAGATGCAGTCAAACTGATAAAAAGATAACATTGTGGAGAACATATATATATATAGTCCTATATATAAGGCCTACTGTGTATATATATCTTATATAAACACTTTTTCCTTCCCAGGCTTTTATCGGTGACTTTGGCCTCTTTAAATGTGTTAAGGTCGCCAGTGCATTTGATCGAGATACCTAAATAAACACGTTTGCATAAAAGTGTGCATTTGATCGCGAGGCTATAACCTTCGTGAAAACGAGAGGAATAACAATTTATCCGCCCAGTATGAACTAGTTCATGAACAATGAATAATTATGAAGAGCCTGCCTTTAACAAAATCACTTCACACACGGTTATTCAGACAACTTCTTTTTGCCAAATATCGATTTTCGTTTTTTTTACTTGTCCTTAAGATTCAGATGTTTTTCTCTCATTAAAGACGTAAAGATCTATGAAATCACATGAAAATCACTTCGGGTTTCTATTGTGCGTTTTGCACACAGTTTAAATCTATGGTATTATGGTAACAATTTTACTGCAACAATTACTCCAAAGAGTGGTGTTTAAACTATATGTCTGTAGTTGCAGTTAGCTATGACTTGTTTCTGTTTGCCCCCATCCCCACCCCCGATTCGCCATTGGATATAAAGGGCAGTAAAAGATTCTTCGAATGGCGAGAGAATTCTGTTTAACGGCGCGAAGCACCTAACTATGCTAATGCAGTAGGATATAAGGCATCGAAACACGTTTGTAAAACATACAAAAAAAAAACGCTTCTAAAACATACGAGAACATGAGTTGGACTTAATTAAGACTGCAACTATCAGTATCTGCCTGCCATTCCCGCGCGATGTCGTATTACGTAAAAAAAACGGACATGAAAACAAAGATTTCTTAACGATTTATGGAATATAAGCCAAAGCCACGAGGTAATAGACCGTCATCAGCACTGAATTTCAAGTTTAAAACGTATGGCGTTTTATTCACCGGCCGATCCTGTATGTCATGAGGGCAGACTAAAAAGATCACCCCGCAAAAATTTTCCTTCCGATCACCCCCCTTCCAATGAACTTGTGTTACAGGGGATTTTGTACCATCCACCAAGGCCTGAGAAAGAGCTTTTACGTTTGATATTCCTCTGGCAATTCACTGGGGGATGTTCGCTGGGAGATGTTTGCACGTCAACAAGTCTTCACCTGGTCGGCCTCTGGCAAAGAGTGGGGATTTCGTGATGCAGTAGCGCTACGCGATCAGCAGATCAACCAAACGGTTTAACTTAAATTCCAAAAACAAGAAAATCCACGCATGAGCACGAGCTCCCCACAGCGAAGAGTGCACAAGTGCCCTTTTCTATTATATAGGCCTATGCGAACTATTTTCTACTCCTCTGTTTTCATGTCCTCCTTCCCTTCCCTCTATCTTAAATACGAACACGCATGCCGGGATGTTTATAACGAATTTTTTATTGATGTAAGACATGAACAACAATATCCAATGAGCAAAACAAGCAGGAATCTCACAAAAATTATTTTGGCTATATTGCACATTTTGGTTTTATGTGCGAACATCGATTATTTCATTAACAAGAGCCAAGAGTCCGGTTCAATCACTGTCTGCTACCAGTGTATACTGACCCTTTTTAACCCAACCAACACAAATAAAACCACTATATGATATACCCACACACCACTGTTGAAACCGAAAACTTCCTTAAGAGTCACATTCGCAAGGCTTACAGCTATAGCTACTTATAGATTCAGTTTTCATGGTAACTTATACAGACTATATCATAATTCATATTTGAAAGTTTATATTTTAGAGAAGGTTCAGGTATTATTTTCTTGGGTATTTTTTGGGTGCAGTTTTCTAGGTAAATAAGGCGTAAACATGTACAGCTCTAGACGATAACATTAGGGACAATAATAAGTAACAGAATATAAACAGGTAAACTGCATAAATAAAAGTGTTGTAACATCTTGATAATATTTGCAATTTTATGAAACATATACACTAGGGCCAATTTTGAACTATAGATGTAAAGTATAAATTTGACTGGGGGAAGGAAAGGAAACTCTTCTTCACGTTCCTTTTCCTACCGGGGTGTGCGGCTTACATAGCTTAATGTGTTCATTAAAAGTCCAGGATCGCCTTCGCCGTTAGATCTGTATGGCATATGGCACTTGCGAAGACGAAGTATTACTGGCTTGTGAAACATACTTTCATTTTACCACGGTAATTAAAATGTACTTTTTCCTATTTTCCATCATCACAGATGTGTTTGTTTAAATATAGAAAAGAAAGACGCTCACGATAAACTTCCGGAGAGCTGTTTAGAAAAAAAAGAGGTTAAAACCAAGTTTTCATCTCACCTTGTCTACGTTTGAATGACGTTGATCTACCATGCAAGATGAGAAATACGAGAACAATTGTAAAGTTCGAAATTTTATATCATGTAAACAAACGTCAATCACAATGGGACATTTACCTTCATTAATTGATAGGTGTCAATCAAAGCTCTAAGGTGCAGAAGTTTTGATTGACGGTTACTTAATCAAACGTCAATCACAACCACCCCGCAAACGAATTTTTACCTCCTTTGATTGACTGGTGTCAATCAAAGCCCCAAAACGTGTGCGGCTTGATTGACAGTTATAAACAAACGTCAATCATCACACTGACAATTAAGCATAGGCGAAGGACAGTGTAATTGATTAAACCGAAAGAAAACTAAATAGAAGCATTGTTTTGGATTAGAAATGATAACTTATTTTTTCTTTTTTAACTTAAACATGTTCATTCGCCGTTGGGTTTAAGTAATGAAAGGGTGTATAGTTGTCAATAATTCCACGTAAGCTAGTTAACAGTTATAATGGAGCTATGTAGTTGTTATAACAGTTTTACATGTACTATACCCTAGTACCTCTTCCAGCCCCTTCAGACAGTCGATATCTTAACGTATCCCCCTCATTCAGTTTTAACCCTCTGATGTTACTGACCTTTAATGTGTTCGTGATGTACCTTGTCCTATCAAAATTTACATTTAATGAAAAATAATGCAATGATAACAATTACAGCTATTGAGCACTAAATACACATACTATTTACAATGAAATTTGCATGCTCCCTTATCTAATAATAAACATATATAAGGATTTAACACATATCATACTTCATTTGATAATCCCATATACAGGTACAACACTTAATTACTATTTTATTTGATTTAATAAGAGAAATGAACTTTCACTTATTGCAGGTATTTTTTTCTCGGGAAATGATATCTTAACGTATTACATGTACCTGTACCCCGAGGTTCGGTCTATGTTTATACGATATATATGGAAAATTAAACTACAGAGAAACACGAAGGCAATTAAAATAAAACAATAACGTAACAGCCATTACTAAACTGCGTGCACATGCAGGCGACTCCATTAATATTACTTAACAAGCCTGTTGGTTATTTTCCTATTTGCACATCTTGTTCAACCTGAACATTTCTAAAATACTGGACTAAATATTCCACTCAATTGCCATACACCACTGTATTTACGTTACACACGTCTATTCACAATGAACTGTCACTTATTATTACCCATTTATAAACAATATCCACCTCTTTATCTAACTGTGTAATTCAGGGGGCGGTCACATTTTGGAGTTTGTCCCGTCTCAGAAATATTGTGAGTTTTACCAAAGAATTAGTGGAAATGTGCTCGGCCTGGCAAGCCGGTGGCTTGCAAAATGATAGTCACTCTACATGCACTTTTAACCGTCTAAATTATTTTAAGTATTGCGAAAGGGTTTAAGTGCTCGCGAATTGCACTTTTTGCTGTTCCTCATCTTCTGGTCCTATTACAATGTTATTCTGAATAATTATAAAATTTATAATTGAAGTTGACAACTGCTAAAAACAACTTTTCATCCGCGGTTTTGATTTGGCATCTGTCTCAACATGGTTGTGACGTGTACCACAAAATTGCTGGAAATGTGCTAGGTGTGACAAGCCGTTGGCCGCTGTTCACTGTACGTCATGATAAGTGATTTTTTAAACCATTTATTTCACTAAATAATATCGTTAAAGGGTTTTAATGCACGTCTTTTTGCGCTTTTGTTATTCATCTTCTGATCCGAATAGAAGATCCTTCTATACAGTCGTAGTATTTACTTGTTCATATGTCTCTAATATGTAGTATACCGTGCATGGTGAAGTGAAAACGCGCGAGACACTGCTTTTTTTCATTTGTGTTAGGCCTATACGCCAAGCCGTACACGAAACACCACATATAATCCTGAAATGGCATGTGATGTTCTTAATGCACGTGTGTGTGTGTGTGTGTGTGTGTGTGTGTGTGTGTGTGTGAGAGAGAGAGAGAGAGAAGAGAGAGAGAGAGAAGGAGGAAGAGAGCAAGGACCTTGGTGTTTTTATACTTGGAACACTTTCCATTAACAAGCAAAATGATAGCGTGTGCATAACTGCCCTATATAACATTAGGAACTTAAGCTTAATTCGTAATCACGTGCACCTTTCTCATCCTGCCGCAGCTACCAGCTACAGTGATACATTATTTGGTAACTTCTATTTCAACTCTCTTTTACATGAAAGTTTCAAGAAACAGATACAAACTACAACGCATTCAAAACATTTCCACATTTGCGATCAGTAGATCAACTTTCATAAAACTTGTAAAAATTTGTCTTAAAACTTATGGAGCCATCTGGTCCAACAGAATGAAATATGAAATCCGCTCGATTGAATCAACTGATAGAAAGTTAAATTATCATTATTATTATTATTATTATTATAATTATTATTATTATTATAGGCATAAAACTCTTACATGTGCATTTAAACCTTTTTATGTGAACAGTGAGTAATAAACTGTGTAAATATTTATGTATATGAGAAAAGTGCATGTTTCAAAGCTCATGATTCGTCATGCTGATAACTTGCAAGTTGTACATTAACAATGATTTTCTGGTCATCTCATGACCTTAAAATTTGCGGTAAAATGTTCTACACTTCCGATTGCAGCAGAGGCGATCATTTTTTTCTTCCAGATGGCGCTGAAGTACGGTCTGGTTGGTCAAACACTGCTCAGATAAAGCATGCAGTGGACAAAACAATGCAAATCAGTGACCTTCATATGCATATAAGTGATATCATTTCTTTAGGGGTGGGTAAAGGTCAGGGATTTTTTTATTCTGCAATATTTAGAATATGTTTAGCACAAAGCATTGTATGTATTTATATCTTAGTAAACTATAAATAAAGCTTTATCTATCAGATAATGTCTCGAGAGAGTTGAACCCAAAAGGCACCGACTTCATCCTGCCTCCTCCCCCTGCATGACACTAATTGAACCGGCTCTCTAGAAAGACATTTCACTTCTTCTGTTCTGGGATCAGGTCAGGGATGGGTCCGTGGCGGTCTAGGTAATAAATTAACGAATATTCCAGTTTTAACCGATTCAATACAACGTTAAAAATATTAAGTTGATAATTTGAAGATATGTAGCTTATTTTTGATTCACTTTTGAAGAGTACTGATGCCTGCATGCTAAAAGTTTGTATAAATAACACTTTGCTTTCCCCTAACTACTCCTTCACGTGCCACGTTTATTTCAACTCTGCTCACAGAAATACAGTAGTAGTGCCAGAAAAGGGTTACGTGAGGAATAGCCATTTAATAATAAATGTTGTGGAAATCCTGGCTATTAGCATGCTTATATTTAATAAGGGAATGGTTGGTAGTCGCATCAACGAACACTATAGAGGTACAGCAAAATAGGCCTACATCCGCTCCTTAATTTAATAATAATTTAGAAATCTACTTCCTTTTCGAATTTTGGCACGGTTTCGCAAATAAGCGGTAATATTTCAATCCGTTAAAATATATAAACTGAACTATTGTTATACTGTTTCTGTGTGAAAGATTTAAGATTTACCATTCAATACACATGGGGCGAATTGTTGTTTGAAATGGATTGTAATGCTGCTTGCAATATTCTACCATCTATGCCCTCCGTCAGCATCATGCTCTTAATTCAAAACGCTTTGTCCAAATACACTTTTCATGTTATAAAAAAAGATTTCCCCGATTTTGAGATTTTTTAAATGTAACATGTACTACTGTAATCATACTTTCAGGTTTGACGCTGTGACAATTGCACATTGACCGGACCGGGGTTATCTTCCGTATTCCACAGCAAGGGAGCACATGGTGACTTACCGTTACGTTCTGATGCGATAAAGTGCGCACAAATATGGACTGTTCTAGAAAAAAATCAGTTTAAAGTTCAGTTTGACCTTTGTGAGTATCCAGACAGATTGTGACCTTGAACTTATGTTGGTGTATTTTTGAACTTTTGATGATTAGGGTTCTTAAATTTGTTATGGCGAAAAATAATTTGGATGGATATAAAAGTAGCCTCAAGTTGTTAGTGTTATTAGTGATACACTACAGGAAATCAATCCCGTTATCCAGTTAAATTTTAAGTTGATAAAATTACACCGAATAATTAATTTTTTTGCAAATTTCAAAATTGCAAGCATTTTGCCAGTCCGTTTTAGTTTTATAAAATTTTCCGCTCACTTTCAAAGTTTGGGATTCTAAATTTGATTGTAAAGGTATACAATGCGCGTTTTAAGGTACACCCATCTAAAACGGTCGAGAAAAAAGAATCAACAGTAGTTTTCAAGCTCTAATTTTTTATTTTTACCGTCACGAGTGAAATTCACTGGTCTTTATCTCCATTAAGAGAGTGACTCTAACACTAGCAACTTAGCAACTCTAAAACTGCTTGATGGATCATAATTCTCCGGACGGATTTTAATGTGGCACACCTTGTTTGTTAAGGGACAGTGTTGAAATTTCCAGAAGAATTAAGTCCGCTATTTACTAGTCTAACGCTCACTGTGTGGTTTTGTGGTTCGTTTTTCTTTTGATGCTCAGATAAAAAGACATTTTATTTTTAAATTTGAAAATGTGTTGTCTTGTCGTCTTGTTGAGTTAAAGAAATCATTTTGTTAAAAACAACCCATTATATTATATAGTTATTAAGTGAAGTCTGTAGAGTTCACAAAATTAAGTCTTCAATTGTAAAGATTTCTATACTCTGGAAAAGCTCATATTATCTGTTTTTCTGTGCATAAAATGGAATATATTTTTTTGTATTTTTTAGTATTTACCTCAATTGATTCATCAATCCAAATAATAATGTAACATTGAAAGATGCATATGAAGGGAGAGTAAATTCCTTGAAACTTATATAAATTATTTGTACCAGTTTCTAACATAACACAACGAATACACAAATAACAAGAAACAAAAATTAAGCTCTCTTTCGGAAAACAGAAAAAGGCCTTAAAACTGACCTTTGGTCTATTTATTTTCCTCTAATCCGCACAACACAGAAGGTTAACAGAAAAAATATGTGCAAATTCGACTTTCCCAAAAGTGATGTAATGAAACTGTTGTTTTTCTTTCATACATGTATTCCAAAAACTAAATGGTGCCATTTGGAGGGGTTTAAAGGAAATAATCTGACATAAGTATTCGCTTAATATGCATCTTTAAGACTTTTGAAATTCATTTTCTGAATTATTGGTTCGTAGATTGTACAATAAAAACGTTTTATCGTTAAATATTAATGACATCTCGACTCGTAAAGCAATTGTAATTTTTTTGCGTAGAGATGAGGGACCAATCATGCGATTGAAATTTTTGATATTTTCAAATATTTACATTTTATTTACCCTTTTATTTACCCTACAGCAACTTATTTTCTCGACCAGCAGGTACAGAAAAACGATTTATATTAAGAAAGTTAAATTCGTATTACAATTTTTATAAATGAAAATCAATGGAGTGAAGTAATATCGCAAATATCATGTCATATATGTCAATATCATGTAATATCGTGATCTGTTCCTCGATTTTACCAAGATCTGCTAACTGTAATTACTGGCTAAACCATTTTATAAACGTCGTTGACGTTTTGGCAAAGGAACATTAGAGAAAATATTCATATGTTTTGATAATAAAGTGAGAAACAAAACAATGGCGAATTTGGGACGAAGGGGTGACATTTTGATATTCGTGTAAATCTAGTAGTATGTAAGTCCTAAGTGGGTCTCTTTTTCACCCCAGCCCCCTTTTTTGGCGGGCAGGGCAGTGGGGAGGGAGATGCTAGATCTGCCATTGTTTTTTGAGGAAGAAATTGTACAAATGTGTCATAGCTTTTTCTGAAATATTTTGTCTGCAATTGTTTTTTAGGAAGAAATTGTACTTATGTGTCATTGCCTTTTCTGAAATATTTTATTTGATATTTAGAACATTAAATACATTAGTCAGTAGTTTAATGAGTCTATAGTTTATTTGTCCCAACCGAAAGAATAGAAAGGATGTACCCGTACTTTGTGAGTTTGTAAGACAAAATTATGGATATCTGAACTAGAACTCGCTATCAGAATGTAGAAATGGTAGTACTCTCTGATAGTGAGTTCTACTTAAGATATCCATAATTTTATCTTACAAACTGAAACATTCCGAACTTATAAAGTTCATGTTCCAAGAATGCAGTTTTGTGGAGATTCTTTTAAAATGAATAAATACATAAATGGGAATTTGTTTTGCTCTTAATCTTAATAAAAAAACTTGAAAATATGCAAAATGCCTTAGTGTATTCATTGACAGTTGTATGGGTCGGTGGTAATCTAGTGATTGGGTTTCCTCTCACTGAAATGCTTTTAGAATTATCCCTTGGTTACTATAAGAAGAAAGTCTACCGGGGGAGGGTGGGTGGGAACACTTAGAGGAGTGGATAGCACGCTTGCCTCTGAGTCAGAAGATCCCGGTTCAAATCCCGGTGCTCCTGGGTCCAAGCAAATTACCTTTTGCTTTAAAAATCTAAATAAGAGACCAACTTGTACAAAATGAATATGCGACGCTGTGGTCGTGGGCAGAGTCAGTTGCTCAGTAGGTAAGAAGGCGGAATTGTATGCAGAGAATAGTAAGTACCAGACACCGGTTCGAATCGAGGAACTACAGAAAAGAAAGCTGCAACAGAAAAATTCCACATTTTGCTCATAGACACAAAGTATACATATTAGCGTTTATTATTGTCCAAATCAATTCTAACAATTGTAGCATACAGAGTATCACAAAAGTATCAATACCATACAAGTACATTTTTGATCTCTATATTACCAGTCACCACCTGCAACGTATTTTGAATTATATATAAATGTTTTGTAATATGAACAAATAATAAACATACTTTTAAATGTCCACTATCTCTAAAAAAATGCCAAATATTTTATGCATTTCGAACTTTGCTGCTTAAGATTATAATTCTTTGGCTCTATAAAAAAGTTTAGGAATACTATAATCGACATAATGCTGTATAACCAGAATATTAAATATACAGGGTTTAGGCAAGAATTAACATACAAACTGGAAAATTGGCTATATTCATGTACTCTTCAGCTTCAGTTCAGTTGACAGTGCTCGTCTTACAATTGATGACAAATGTAATAGAAGAACATTTTTGTACATATTCAAAATAAATATAATCTCGTGTAAGGGTTACCCCCGTCCGCATGCACGTGTAAACCTTGTTCTATGCCGTCCTGCTGATGATCACATTCATATGCAAAACCAGTTCCACCCGCATTTTAGATGAAATGTTTATTGCGCCCATCTCAAGTTTAACATTATTTTTTCTTCAAATTAAAAAAAAAACAAAATAAGTACGTTGGGTAAAAACCTAAATTTGCACAGCATGTGAATCAGGAACGGCATAAATACACGGTCAGTTTACAAGCTTATCCCAGCAAGAGCCATTTAAAAGAATGATATCCAAACAAAGTTGAAAAGGTTATAAAAATCAATAAGTATGAAATAACTCATTACATTCATTTAGAAAATTCCAATAAACTGAACTCCGATTTTTGGTGTTCCGTGATCCAAGAACGCTCAGTTAAAATAACCCAACAGGACGTGCAGGACTGACATCAAATAATATATTTCTTTCTCAATCACCCCTTGATTTTTAAACAAACTTTGACTGGACATTTCAAACTAAACAGTGAAATTATATTCATTTTTGATGGAATATGGAATCACTAGTTGTTAAGAGAAACAAAATGCTGTCAAAAGGTATTTCCTTAGATACTAGTTCGGTAAATAACTGACCAAACCACACGAACTCCTAAAATAATCTACCAAAACTAAGTGTTATGTATTAATTTTGAATATTTTTTTTTTTTTGCAAATTTCTAATAAAATTGTTTCATATTTTATTTGTACAAGACTGACCAAAGATGGCGGGTTATAAAACTGCATTTGTTTTTAGGTATACTTGTGAACCCCACTCAAATTAAGCTTTCAATAACAATGCTGCAATAAGATAAAGATTTTTCAAAATCTCTCAAAGGTTATTACAAATGCCAGTCCTACATTGACCTTTTAATAGTGAAAAGATGTGGAATAAGTGACCGCCTATAATTGACCGATTTTTTTGTAAACATTTACCATTTCTACTTTCTGATAGCGAAAAAAACTTGAGAACAACACATAAATGAACTCAATGCTGGTAGCGCAAGTAGGGACATTTTCTTATCATCAACACACCGTACATATTCTCCTATTACATTAACAAATACAAAATTATTTCGGGAATTTTTTTCTATCCATCATATGGTTTAACATTTCTTTAAACTAACATATTGACGCCCCTCCAGCACTGAAAATATGGGTCTGTCTCTGGACACACACACACACAGAGTGTAAAAATACAGAGAAACAAAAAGGTTCCTAGCATGCGTTACAATTGCATATTCATATTCACAGTGTTGAGAAAGATTGCTTCAATACGTTAAGGCAATTCTGCAAAAAATTAAACGCATTTAGCCAGTTTCATAATAATGCCAATATAATATTTGAATTGTAATAATCTTGGGTACACCTTAATTAGATTATTGTAACTAAGCACATCGCTGTCTCCTTCAACTGAACACAACGTGTATTACGAAAAGGTTTCCTTTATACCTTTTTACATGTAGGATGTTAAATCAGGGTTGATGCTTAACATAGCTTTAGTCCACCTCTTTCTTTTCTTGTTCAGAATTTCATGAATTAAAATGCTGGATACGTGCATTTATCACTTGATGCACGTTTTGAATAGTACAATAGATAGTAATCATTATATTCCATATTAAACGTCAACCCTGCAATTAACCAGAAGACAAACTTCGGCAACCGAGACAATCTTGGCATGGAGGCGGGCTATGTCGTAAGTGAATCTGATGTCTCTGGAGGAGGAAGCATATCCATCCGCCTCGTTATGGTGGTTAAGAGTCACTGAAATAAAACGAAATATTTAGATGCCCGGAACGATGTGTAAGCGGTTTACATAGCATTGTTTTAAGGAATTGTATTTAATTTCTAAACTACGAATATTTATGTGACAGGTTTTATTCAATCACGCGCCTTATAATAGCATCATTTCTATTCTTTTATAACATGTACACCATGCTTAACAGCAACATAATGTATTAAGATTCATATATAAGCACAGTAAAAATGATACAGGTGCTTGGATTACGCAGATATTCAAAGAAATGGAAGTAAATAAATTTAGACATTTGGCAGAAGGGGGGGGGAGATAAAACAATGTCTTGCTTCTAGGAAAATATAAAACAAAAGGCGAAGATAATGTTACCACAGACCTAATTGGTAGGACACAGGAATAAAAGCGACTTGGTTTTATCTTGTATGGCTTCTTTGGTGTGGGTGGGTTTGACAGAAAAGAGATCGGTGTCATCAACAATAAAATGAGCTTATTAAAGGGCAGCAAATGGGATTACCTGTCTGGTCGTTTTACACTGGTGAAACTCGTTCAGGTCTTTACACAGCTGGCACAAACCCCATACGTCTTTATTGGCAAATGCGTCTCTTCTGGAAAATAACAGAGTATAATAAAACCATTGAATAAAACGGCAAGTCGGTTTTGAAAATTTAAGGTAACGTATCGTTCACCTCAATAAGTTGCCTGCATCGTTTTAATAACTTAATTATAAAATGTACTATTTTGGTAAAATACAGTTATGGTCAACGCAGATGAGGCAATCCCTCATTAGAAGTACACCTTACAGTACTTACAGGAGATTGTTGCCGTTGTCAGTATGTTGGGCCTACATGTGGCATGGGGCTTCTTTCTCCGTTTTGCACTGACTATGGTCCTACCTGAACACATTTCACCAGAATGCTTGACTGATTTACATGACAAAGTACAGATCGTCCATTCTCCGTACAAAAGCCTCGTTTTAAAGATTATTTAGTTATTGTTATCTAACAAGGCACAATGGATTTCCATCCCGGATAAGTGTTTTGCCGTGATCATAATAGCAAAAACAAGCACATTAGTCATTATACTTGATATCTAGTAATCAGGCTTAACAATAATATTTCACAGATGGAATAATTTATCTATAACTGTCGATGAATTGTTTAGATGAAGACGAGCTGTGGGGAGGGGTGCATTTTTATTTACGTCTGTTATTTAGGTTGTTAAATGTGTTGTCTTTTGACGATGTGTCTTATGTTACTTGTGACTTGAATACACTTTAACATTTTGTCATTTCATAAAATGAATACAGATATGAAAACGGTGTCAAAAAGCTCATGTACAATGTTGATGATGTTGTCGAATCCTAAATAAAGAAGATTTGTCTTTCAGTCACAAATTGGGCATTATTTAAAACAAACTCCTGTGCATATCTTTAACCAAAGACAGATAATTTCAAATACGGTAAAAAATTCAGAATGACTACTGTACGACAACTTCTATTTCTGTTGCAATTATTTATGAAAAAATTGCAACTGTCACATTCAAGTATTCATGGAAATATGAAATCTTTTTGTGTTTTATAATCCCAAGTGTTCTTCGAATGACATGTAAATCTATAAAATCCACTCGTTTTTGTCAGTACAACTACATAAATTTGACAAAGTTTGACAACTCAAATGCGTCTGTTCCAGGTGATGTCATTACTTGTGCTTCCGACATTGATTAGTCTTAATTTCCTAGTTTCTACACATTTTTGCAATTTGAACAATCCTGCACTATTTGCTTGAAACAATGTGCACTCGCTTTTTAGCCTCCTCTTTCAGATCCTTCCTGCTGGTTTTTCCAGTGCGAGTCTTCGGATATTGATCAAATACAAGAACATAAGTTGGGGCCAAAGAGAGACCATCCGGTCCGACGGAGAATTGTGCTTTACACCAAATAAGGAAGTCGGCTTCGTCGAATGCTTCAGGGTCACGTGGTATGATGCATGCACAGAGATCCTCAAATAGACGCTGATCCGGAACCCCAACCACGACCACTTCTTTAATACACGGATGTTGACGAAGGACTCTCTCAACTTCGACGGGAAATACTTTTACAGTTGCTCGCTTTATCATATCATCTGATCGACCAAGCAGCACGATTCTTCCATCTTGCCTTTTGACTCCCACGTCACCCGAGCGAAACCAGTTGTCTGGAAGCCGTGCTTTGCTGGTTGCTTCAGAATTATTGTGGTATCCTTCGAAGAGAGCTGGTGAGCGAATGCAAATCTCTCCCGATGCCCCAGGTTCCACGGTTTCACCACTGCTGTTAATTAGCTTGATGTCAGCGCCTTGGTGAATATTAAAACCATCGTCATCTAACGTGCTCGTGTCAGTATGACATTGATACAAAACAATTCCCGCCTCACCCACACCATACAGGTATACCAGTGTTATTGTCGGCAATGCGGTTAAAACATGGACCAGCGATGCGTGGTCGGCTTTTTGTCCGCCAGTTAAGACATATTTGAGATGTGAGGGTTTGTTGTTTGGATTGTTGCTATGCATGAAATCTACGAGAAGATAATTCATCAAAATGGCATGCGTGCATTTTTCATCTCGCAAGATGGTCATGACGAAATCGACCTCCCCGCTGGCAACAGTGAAGTTAGAGTTGATCGTGACTGCGCATGTTCCAAAGATACACATGTTTAGTATCGTGTAGGCACCACCTGTCCACGCCATCGGGCGGTCATTAAAGAAAGAAGCTGTTTCTGTAAACGAAAACTCGCGCATTATACGGGTTCTGGCGACAAAAGCACGATGGTTATTTTGTATGGCTTTTGGCTCTCCCGTACTTCCGGAGGTGAAAAATATGGCGCATGCGTCGTCTGGCCCTACCTTGGGAAAATGCATTTCTTCGGGAATATGTGACAAATTAGTATCTTCATGGTCGGTTTTTGAACTGCACGAAACACTACGCTTGTCGATGAGGATCTGACTTATCACGACAAAAGTATTATTTCGGTGTTCCCTTGACATTTTTTGCTCTATGTTTGTAATGACATCGGCATCACGTTCTGAATAAATGCTTCCCACCAAACCTTTACAATCATGCTTTGTCAATAACCTGCAGACTTCCTCCGCGGTGCTTCCATACCGTAGCATCAGTACAGGGGCTCCTATGCGAGACAAGCCAAGGAAGGCAACGACAAAATCCACAGAATTGGTAGACAAAAGACCGACGATATCACCCTTTCGAAGTCCCTTGGTGAGCAGCATGATAGCAAACTGTATTGATTGCTTGCGCAGTTCAGAGAAAGTCACAGCCTCGCGTACGTCTTTTGCATGGTAGACTATACATGCGTCACGCTCAGGGAATTTTTCTGCTATTTTGTCGAAAGAATCGAGAAACGTTAGGCTCTGGCCTTGAACATAGGTGGGGGAAGGTTTCTCCATTTTCTGTGAAATGAAAGTAGAATGAAATAAAAAAAGAATTGATTCAAAAATTACAAAATAGCTATGACAATGCATGTAAGAAAGGACAGATTGAAACTATTAATCCCACTGTCAATTTACCTCTGATATAAACCCCCTTTACACTGGACGGCATCCTTTCTGCGTCCTTTGTGAGATAGATGAAACTGCAGGCATCACTGTGGTCGTAATAAGAAGACACAATCATTGCTTTGGTTGCAGAATGAATGCTTAATGATCGGCCAGTTTTCGGCACGTAATTATTATAATTTTTTAACTCTCAAACGGGACCGTACTACAGGACGCAGTAAGGACGCCGTCCACTGTAAAAAGGGGGCTTTACGACTTGCGGCAGCAGTTCAGCGTTACGCACACTTGAGGTCAGTTTTTCACCAACGATGTTTACAAATCATATTTTAATCATAGACTATTGGATGCTACAGAATCAGCGCAGAAAAGATTCGATTATCTTTAGAGCATTTTGAAAATATACACTCAACGTAAAATGCGTGTTTGTGTGTGATAACTATGACCCCCTCTATTAAACGCTATTGTATACCGCAACTTGCAATAGCACCGTTGGTGACCCACTTTACATATTGGTATACCTGTATGTACTATATATATATATATATATATATATATATATATATATATATATATATATATATATTCGTAGAATATGGAACACCTGATGCAGCACGCATCTTTTGCAAACAATCTCATTTTGCTCTTCCTATAAACAGTACAATGGACGTTCCATTTAACAATGTCACCGCTCGGACAATCACACTAGCTGACTGTTGTGACATTAATTCGATCCCTGTTCGAGTAACCTGCATGGTGTATACCGGTAGGTCCCTAACCTGTCTTTATATATGCCGACATTATAGCACTTTTCGCGTCCGCTCCCACCCCTTTGTCCTAATAAATCCCTTGCTTAACTGCTAGCACTATCAAGTGTTTGTAGTGTGTGTGTGTGTGTGTGTGTTGGCCAGAATGACCGCTAGAATACTATCATCACTGCTGTATGACTGTCATCGCCTGAGTGCAAGGAGCTACTGCTCTCAGCAAGTGCGTTAAATACAGAATCCATTCCAATAGGGCTACTGACCGTATTTTGAGTATAGGTTCTAGTGCACGCCAGTATTCCACCGTATCAATCTGAAGTCGCGACCCGATTTTTGTGTGATAACGAACTGCCTACATGTTGTCAGGACGAACTTGAGTTTAAGGGAACGAAATGTCATATGCCACGTCATGTGAGGGCGTACATGGTCTACAGCTCCACAATTGTTATGTACCTATTCAAAGCATTGCGATAAAGTAGGTCAGCAGTTTCCTCAAACTCACTAATTTAGTGCTCATGCTATACAGGGCACGGACATCACAAAAATATTAGTATATAAATAAATAAAATAAACTAATTAATTAAGAATAAATAACACTAAAACAGAAATGAAATAAAAATAAAAACGACAAATTAAAATGAATGAAAAAATTAAATAGTGATGAATAAAGGACTAATAAATTTTATTTTTCAACTCGTCCTTTGTGTAGAGTTATTGATCATTCAATAGAACGTTAATTATAAGATATTCATGCTGTCTCATAGAAAACAATGTTTTATATCAAATGAATAAATTAATAATCCATTCCTAAGAGTATACTGCCATTTGTTGTTAACTGCCTGCGACTCTACCCCAAAATGATGGGGTTGAACGTCATGAGGAACATGCTTTTAAGCATAATTTTCATTTTTATTCAAATATAGTATTTGCTTTCTATCCATTTAGTAAAATAATATTGCGAACAATTTTCAATAAACAACATTTCTTTGTCTTATAAAGGAGTTTTTTTCTACGGTCGTTTCAAAGATGGCTATGTGTGTCAGGAAATAAATCAAATAAAATTTGATTCCTCATATACTGAAAACAAATATTTGCCTCAAGATTACAGTTACTTAAACCACTTAACTAAATTATGATCCTTACAGAAATATTTTGAACATGTCTCGAGTAAATCCATGTATTCATCTATTGTTTTCGTTTTCAAAACACTTGTTTGCCTTTTGCCTACTGATCTACATAATTTCTTTTTCTGGTTTCATCGATAATGCCTATAAACAATCTTGTAAAACTACAAAGGAACTTGGGGCTACTACAAGAAGTCTAAAAATGTTAATTAACGCGTCCAGGCCTACCCAACTACCAGACTCGGCACCTAAGGATCCTGAATTAACCGGTATATCGGGCCACACTACCCGTTTTCAAGGTGTGTGTCAGATCGCATTTCGGAGTATCAGCCATAACACCGACAGGATGAGCCCTGGCATGCTCGGCTGTCACCTTGATTGGATAGTAAAGGATTGTCGTAAAATCGCTTTATGATTTTAAAACCGGGTGCATAAATTTGAAAGCCACCTAGATGAACCTTAGACTGCCACATTAATCTAATACAATGCAAAAAAGCCCTATCAAAAGTGGTTAAAACATTCAAACCGAATGTCGTAAAGTCCCCATATACCCCCATAGAGACGATAAAATAGAGTAGTCTAAAGTAAGAGTACAGTTTCAGGTTGTTCAGCCGAGCGTGGATGAGCCCGCAGCCGTGCTACAAAATTTGTTCTGGGGTATGATACTCCGAAATGCCATCTGACACACACCTTGAAAACGGGTAGCGTGGTCCGATATACCGGTTAATTCAGGATCCTTAGGTGCCGAGACTGGTAGTTGGGTAGGCCTGGCGTCAATAGTTACTCAAACCTGTGCAATTTGCACTCGTCTATTAGCCTCCTCTTTTAGGTCCTTCCTGCTGGTTTTTCCAGTGCCAGTCTTCGGATATTGATCAAATACAAGAACATAAGTTGGGGCCAAAGAGAGACCATCCGGTCCGACGGAGAATTGTGCTTTACACCAAATAAGGAAGTCGGCTTCGTCGAATGCTTTAGGGTCACGTGGTATGATGCATGCACAGAGATCCTCAAATAGACGCTGGTCCGGAACCCCAACCACGACCACTTCTTTAATACACGGGTGTTGACGAAGGACTCTCTCGACTTCGACGGGAAAGACTTTTACAGTTGCTCGCTTTATCATATCATCTGATCGACCAAGCAGCACGATTCTTCCATCTTGCCTTTTGACTCCCACATCACCCGAGCGAAACCAGTTGTCTGGTAACAGTGCCTTGCTGGTTGCTTCAGAATTATTGTGGTATCCTTCGAAGAGAGCTGGTGAGCGAATGCAAATCTCTCCCGATGCCCCGGGTTCCACGGTTTCACCACTGCTGTCAATTAGCTTGATGTCAACGCCTTGGTGAATATTAAAACCATCGTCATCTAACGTGCTCGTGTCAGTATGACATTGGTACAAAACAATTCCCGTCTCACCGGCACCGTACATGTATACGAGCGTGGCCTCCGGAAAAACAGTGAAGACATGCATCAGCGCCCCATGATCGGCTTTCTGTCCAGCCGTGATGACGTATTTCAAATGCAAAGAGGGCTGTTGTTGACCGTCGTAATGCATGAGGTCGACGAGTAGATAATTCATCAGCAGTGCGTGCGTGCATTTTTCATTCCTCATGACGTCCATGACGAAGTTTATCTCTCCACTTGCCACAGAAAGGTTAGAATTCACTGAAACTGTGCAAGCACCGAAGATGCACATGTTAAGTATCAAATAAAAGCCACCCGTCCACGCCATTGGGCGGTCATTAAAAAAAGTAGCTCTCCCAATGTCCGAAAACAGGAACTCGCCCCATGGATGCGTTCTGGATACTAATGCTCGATGACGAAACTGCATAGCTTTTGGTTCTCCCGTACTACCAGATGTAAGGAATATGGCGCACGTATCTTCAGGGCCTACATCTGGAAAGTGCAGGTCGGGTTTCAGTTTTGTTTCACTGCTCAAAAAGCCTACCTGACTGGAAGCATTGTCCTCGTCTGGGGTCTGCTTTATTATGACTAAATGCTCATTTCTTCGATCCTTTTTTATAAGGTGTTCAATGCTTGAGATTATTTCTGAATCTTGATTTGAGTCCACGCTTCCAACCAAACCTTTACAGTCATGTTTTGTCAATAACCTGCAGACTTCCTCCGCGGTGCTTCCATACCGTAGCATCAGTACAGGGGCCCCTATGCGAGACAAGCCAAGGAAGGCAACGACAAAATCCACAGAATTGGTAGATAGAAGACCGACGATATCACCCTTTCGAAGTCCCTTGGTAAGCAGCATGACAGCAAACTGCTCCGATTGTTTACGCAACTGAGAGAAAGTCACAGACTCACGGGCATCCTCTGAATGATAGATTACGCATGCGTCTTGGTCTGGACATTCCTCTGCTACTTTGTCGAAGGAACGGTGCAGCGTTATTCTAGGAGAGTCGGTGTTGTTGACGGATGGATTCTCCATTATCTGCAATCATTGGATATAAAATGAAAAGCTACTTAAAATGGGTACTTGTATTACGATCCTACTATTTTCTTTAGCCTGTAGCAAATAGATTGTCGATGTATGTGCAAAAACAGTTGATTCCTGAATAGAAAATTTATGAGAACAAGATTCGGCTAAGGACTAGAGAGGCGGACAGCTGAGTTGCTGGGCACCTTCGATTTAGGACTGACGTGAAAAGCAGTCGCTGTTTACATCGTTTTAAATACATATGCAGTGACATCGTAAACGCACTGAGGCTGCAAATGGCCGCATTTACTCGACTCTGCACAACCACTACAGTGAACTCCCCCTCCCGTACGCAGTGCAGTCTAATTGCTCATTTAAGTTTTTCATTTTTCAGTGTGTCTGCTACATAGTAAATTCATAAAATGTAAGTACTTACCGTCTCATGGATTGTGGAAAGCTCAGTGTGGATCAACAACTGGAGATGATCTTCCCACAACAGCCTATGTGGTCTATATGCTCTGTGTGATAAGTTGTGACCGACGTCTGCATACAGTGTCTCGATCTGTTTACATTTACTGACCAAGATAAAGTTAAAGAAAATATCTATCAGTTTTAATTATTTTACCATGTGATATTTCTTAGAGTTTTCACCCAATTTAGTGTTCACCAGCTGTCGTTCTACTCACACATTACTCCCACAATATTACCAATTTACTGTTCAATTCACTTCTTCTTAACCTGGCTTAAGCTAAGTTAACAGCAAATGCGATAATAGTATTTGTGCTTCTAATATAAAAACACTATGAAGCACAGGTGCTACGCTACTCATTGATTATGTAACATTCTTGTATATTTGAACACTGTTTCGGAGAGATAAATAAAAAGAATTTAAAAACAACATATACTGGCGCTTTAAGTGTGTTTAAATAGGTTATGTATTCGGGTAAGCGTAGTTCTAAGCGGGTCACACGTGCGTTGTGATAAATTACTGATCCTACATAATAGGTGTTACAGGAATGGAAGTCCGCTAGGAACCGCAGTCCGCTCTCCATTACTTTCATCAGGTGACATTCGCCCTATATACTAACCCCAATACTCCAATTAACTTACCCTCACCTGTACATATCATATGGGACCCCGAACTTCCATTCCTGTCACAACGCCCCCCCCCCTCTACCTGGTAGGGAAAAGGTCTCCAGAAAAGGTTACCTTTTTGTGTTTTCTTTCTTTTTTTTTATCTTTGTTGTATTCTTTTCATATGTATCAGTTGAAAACTTCATAAATCATTCATCGCCATTTTAATGGCACACGATGTAGGTAGGTCTGAAGAAATTTGCAGCGCAGCAAAAAGTGAACATGCAATAATTTTACAGAACTATATTGCTTTAATCTATCTATATTTCTTTAATTTCAATGTATATAAAAACATAACTTCTTGCTCAACCATAGTGCTATAGCGATCATCATTCAGCTAAGTTGCCCAATCCAAGAAGTTATATAGCTTCTTGCCCAATCTAATAATATAATAGATCCATATAGGTGACCCTGAGCCAGCACTGGCAACCTGTATCTTTTATTTTACCTGAGGTGATTCACAGTAGGAAGGGCACAAGGATCAAATTCAGACACGAGCCTTTGTAAAAAAAAAAAAAAAAAAAAAAAAAAAAAAAAAAAAAAAAAAAAAAAACTCTGAACATTTATCATGAGACCTAACACCTTACCAGCCAGAGGTCAGGGGGTTGCCTTAGGAATTGAATTAAAAAATGCGGAATTCAGCATTTACACAGAAAAAGCTCATATCTGCAAGTTTAAGCCGAAAAGGGCCATCGTGTCCTATGAATGAGGCCCATAGTGAGGGGGGGGGGGACAGGGGGTTCAAAAGAACCCCCCTTTTTGCCTGGAAAAAGTCTCCTCTGGATAAAATTTTATGTAGGTACATGTTGATTTCATGGTAAAAGGTCCACTTTCAAAAAAAGAAACCCCTTTAAAATTGCTGGCTACATGCCTTTAAATAAACATCCAACTCCAATAATTTACATTATCAAAATCAAAGTAAAAATTCACAGTCATTTGTAACTAAAATATATTTATTGTTGATTTAAAACAAATAAGGTTACAGTAAAACATGTTTCAATATAATACTGACTGCCAACAAGTCAACGACACTGTGTCTAACCACTTTCATTGTCATTTTACTGTCACTACCTGTCCAATAAAAATATAACATTCTAAGTCGGTTACAAACTGGACTTGGTGTCAGTTGAAAACATCATTTGACTCTCTCTTCTAAAATGCAGTGTTATTGCTATTCTAAGTTTCTACTGATTGATGCTTCTTGTGCATTTTATCATTGAATAATATCCCTGAGCCCCTTTAATTCTTAGATACTAAATGTCAAAAAGAGCAAGAGTTAATTCAAATTGAGCAACAACCTTCCAATTGTGTGATACAGCTTTTAAATAAGTGGTTATTTGAACTCACAACTTTTCTTCAAAAAAATTTAATCTTTGTAAAAGATAAAGGCATGAAAACCGTGTAGTATAGCTCTGTCTAATTCAATATTGACATTGAAATAAGTGCTCCCTGACTAAAATAGCACTGCATAGTTCACAGTTTTATATCAACTTCAATATAAACAAAACAAAAAACCTTTCATTTTTGTTTAAGCACCATGAAATTATGAAAAAAGCTTAGACTTCTTAAATTCAATAACTCAAAAATGTGACTAAATTTTCTCTGCATCTTCTTAATAACAAATAAAAGCCTAAGTCAAAATGATACTAAATTCAGAAGGTGTTGAAACATCAATTAAATGTTTACTTCTAAAGATGAATAGATAGCCAATTATATCCACTTTGTTCATCTTCTGGTACATTTGTTAACTTTGTACTGCAACTGATGTAGCCATGTCCAATTCAGAGACAAAATGAGACTTAAACACAGCACAATGCTCTACAGAAAACATTTTTAACACATCAGTGATAATACATTTGTCTTTTGATAAATGACCTAATTAACAATAATGTTATTACATCACAAACCCTTGAAATACCCTAACAAACAGGAATCCCTCTAAGCTTTGCTGTTATACTTAGTCACAAAGGAAAATACTCAACAATACACAAATATATTATAACTGAACTGATAAATCATCACAGGCCGTAAGTTAATGCAATATCACCTATAGGCAGCCCATAGGCAGTGTTTAACTTCTACAGAAAGTTTGGCTCAAGTTTTAAGTCCCAGAATTCTTGCATACTATGACCCAGGGTAGATCAGTTGTTGCCCTTCTGAATGAGAACATTGGGTCGATTGAAGATATTTAAAAATTCAACTGGACCTCACAAGAAGACTCGAATTTTCTTTCAATATAGAGTGTCTGCTCAAATTTTTTTTGTCAAAAAAGGTCATGTGGGAAGAGGCCCATATGGCAGCAGAAATATGCTTGGTAGAACACCATCTGTTACATCTGAGGGTAGTAACATGGTAAGCAAGCCAACATTGTATATATTACATGATATATTAAAATAAAAATTGCACCTTCCAATTTAGCTCTGGTATTGCTTAACATAAATCTTACCATAACAGTTAAGCTGATAAGTAATATTCCTCTACAGAATAAGGAAATCGTACTAGTGCATAATGAAACTGAGGAGTTAATGGTTAGCTGGTACACAGCAGTGTGATAGGTGAGACAGGTTGGATGTGACACTGGAATGTGCTAATGAGCTGAGTATAAATATAGTGTGCTGCAATGGGAATGAAAATGGAATATATGCAATAGACAATGTTTGTAGTGAGGAGATGTCTTTAGTGTTATGATATGATGGTGATGAGGTGATGCTGGATGTTAAAACACAGAGTTTGAAGGAAACCTTTGGTATGGTCAGGATGCATAATATATGTAGAGTATGACACGATAAAAACACTGCTGAAGGTAATGTTGTAGACATAAGAGCGATGTGGACAACTGCAGTGTCTGTGACAACTCTGAATCTAAAAAAGAAGTTTTAAGTTAGATAAAATATGGCATTTTTAAACTTCAAGGCAGATCTTATGCTCTGGTAGGTAACTCCTAGCTGAATCTGTTGACTAGGGATTATTTCTGCACAACTCATCTAAGTCCTCAGTGGTCAGGTTACAGTCAAGCCTATACTAGCCTCTACTTGTTGTAGATATCTGGTCTCCAGTGGTAGGAAATACCTCCTCTCATCTGGAATCCTGTCACACTGGAAAGAAATATTGGAGCAATAAATATTTAACTTGGTAAAATCTTCATCAGCTTGCTTTTTCTTTACTTCTCTTCTTACCAATTTTGTGCTGCTGCAGTCTTATTAAAAAACATACTTACAACATTTACTAGTATTGTATTTAAGTTAAAAGAACTACCATATCAAAATCCTTTCAACAATTACATAATCTGATAAAATGTGTATTTTACAATTTTTAAATAAAAAGGTAATGGTGGCCTTCAATTTTTGACAACACCAGAGCCTTACAAACCGCTATAAAATCCACAACAAGTAAATTATGAATACCTACTAATACTCAACATCATAGCACAAAGATCCCCATACCAGTTTTACGCTTAACTGTTAGATGCTTACATTGGTCATATTATTTTTCCGCACATCTAAAACGCTTTTTTCACTGTCAGATGACACATCCTGTATGTCATTTTCTAAATATTCCTCCCAGGGTTTCTCTCTCCACCTGGGGCTTATTGGTAATATATGTCCCTCTGTTGTAAAAATATAACTGGCTGCCTCTTTGTTTAAATGGTGATCTTTGTCAAAAAGCTGGAAAGTGGAAGAAAACAATACATTTACAAATGAGGGAGAGTTGACTGAAAGGGTTATGGTAAATACTCTCTACCTCCTGCTAAAGATAAGAGAGGTTTCATGGTATGTGGTTGTTTTATCACATCACAGACAACATTTTCATTTTTCTTCATCTAATTTTTGATCAACGTCAAAAGGGGAAAGGGGGGGGGGGGGTACTTCCAAACCAAACTTTCTCAGGCACATTTGAAATGAAGAAAGCAAACATAATAGTTACCCTCTGTAAATACCAGTATGAGAGCATATTTTGCCTTAAAATATAACAAGGGACAGAATATAAGAACTCATCTCCCTACACAATGTGCCTCCAATTTGGGGGTTCACTGCCCAAAGAAGTTAATAATATCTACTAGCTTGGTTTCTCTGCCCCAGGTCAACAAGGCAAAAAATATGTGATGTAAGAAAACAACAAAATATAAATATCTATTACCAGACCTAATGAATTTTTGAGAAAAATAAGTGAGGTAGTTCAAAAATTGTGAGTAATTACCATCACAATCATAAGCGACAACATGAATAATTTGTACAATAAAGCATAAAAATTATGGCAGCTGTTTTCAATAATTTGAGACAAATTTGGAGCGCTAGAAATAACAATGAAATGTAGGTCAACAAGGCAGCAAAACTGCCAACTGGACAGACAAAACTGATAGAAGCAGTGACATTAAAACAACCAGAACAATGGATAACCATTTTAGTGTGAAAGAGTACAAATGTTTTGTCAATTTTAACAGTGACTGAAGTCAAAGATAATGGGATATTCCAGAATGCACCAAACATTTGAGTTACGCAAGTGATACACATGATTTTTGTGTTTTATAACACTTTTTATTCACTGTTGATTTCTTTCCTTATTAAGAATGAAAGAAAATACTGTGGCAAGGCAGACCTATGCATATATTATTCATAAAATACACACATAACTGACATAACTCAAATGTTCACTATTTTGTGGAAAGACTAACATGACAGACATTGGGGTACAGTGTAAAATCCTTGAGAAAAGCATGTACAATTTAAAATTGTTTTGCATTCAACTTTGTTGAAATGAACTTTGTTATTTCTGTAAATCATCAACTGAATCCAAAATACTGAAGTGTGCATGTAAAAACAGATACCTTCTCTGAACACAAGAGAATATACAAAGAACATTTCCCACCCCAACAACCCCCCACCCCTCTCCCCATACCAAATACAAATATATTTTACATTCTTTCAAAAGCAAAACTAATATATATGAAACCGAAATTTGACTGGCTAAGAGCTACATTGTTTTTGTTGTTTTTTCTCCCTACATGAACACTTCTGCTAATCTCTACTGACAAAACAACAAAGCTATCACAGATCATCCACATATGTACTGAAGATTGACACTTCTTCACTTTTGAAATACTTACAAGATATAAATATTTACAAGTTTCACTGAGGAAAAAACTTTCCATTCTGTCCTCCAGGTCCATCTTTGTAACATCATGAATTGTTGCATAGCCACATCTGAAAGATACACACAGTCATGAAGGTTAACCTGGCTGGCAAAGATAGTGGAGTTGTTTCTGACAGAAATGAAATTGGGTCAGAATAAAATTCTCTGAAATTAGGGATATTCCTGAATAATCTAATCCCTGATGAGGCATTTCAATTTTTAAATTATAACAGCTTATGGTTTCCATCACTACATCAATTCTTTATCATAATTAAATCTGCTTTGATTTAGATAGTTCAGTATGTATTAAATAAATAGCAACAGTTTGAACCTGAATCACTTCACAGGAAAAAATGCAGTAATAGACAACAGTCATAGTAAACAGTTTTATACTCACTCTGCTTTTGCATATTTATCAATGTTCTCTAATATATCCTTTCCAACATGGAGGTAAAAAGGGTTTTTAGTTGCCTGATATAAAAGATACGTAGATTCAACCAACTCTGGTCTGAGAGGATAAAAATTCAGCTCTGGCACTTTTAAATGCCAGTTGTATCTTTCTGGTAGGATGCCATATTTCCTCCATATAGAATAGTAGACTGCATGGCTGCATATGGCCTCCTCGATATCCCCAGCTAACACCTTAACAGAAAAAGAAACAGATATTGCTTTTATCATAACTCTGTTGAGAAACACGGTTTACAATAATACTCTGTACTCTGGGGTGGGGGATCCAGGATTATTTGAAGGGAAGGGGGTTCGCGGATACACAGCCTACCCCCCCCCCCCCCCAAAGCTCCTCCACTTTTGGCATTTTAGAGGGCGAACAGTGCCATTTGGTACAGTTTAGAACTATAATTCAGCTAGTCAAAATTCTGATTTCAAGAGGGGACCATCGGTGTGATTTTTGTTCAGAAATCGAAGGGGGGGGGGGGCAGGTACCCCCAGAATCCCCCCTCTCCCCCTAAATCCACCACTGTGTACTAAAAATTGGTAAGCCTAGTGTACTGATTTTCCTATTGGAAGTTTATATCAGGAATTTTAGGCCTCCAAACCATAGTACCCACATAACAATTTTAATATAGCAGTAGTACTAGTTCCCATGGTAAGTTGTACACAAAATTTAATAAACAATGTCCTTAGTTACAAATGAGTTCACCATTACTATTCTCCATTCATTATATAATTGGTATACAAAGGACACCTTCCACATTTACCTAGTACAGCCTCTGTTACAGCATTTGAACTCACAAACTAATAAATATCTACAAAATTTTGCAAGGAAAATTTCAATACTCTCTACTAGTTTATTATCCCCAACACTTCAACAAGACAGAAAAGAATATTAATCTCATTATGATTACATTACATACTAGAAAAATATGTTTACCAACCTGAATCCCGGCCCAGGCTGCTGACAGGGAGTCCACCCAGTTGTTCAGGGTTTCACCATTCTTCATGTTCACATTCATATACAGTGGGTGGAAACCTGAGCCCTTGTTGCAGTTTGGTCGACTGTAAGGCAAAATATGTTTTAAATATTAGGATGTACATCAAATTAACAACCTATATTAATTAAATACATTTGAAAATTAGACAATAACTGTAAATAAACAAAAGAAATTGTCTTAACTCTATATTAAAGGTTCATTTGAAGGTCAAGGTCACCACAAGAAAGACAAAGCGACGGACAAGCGGGAAATGAAAAGTTTGAAAATATCGACAAAAAATGTCGCCAATTGACCAGCATTGACTATAAATAAGACAATAAGTATACAGAGGTTATGTGTGAAGTAAAAAATTAGTAGACTTTGTTGCTTTTTTCTGACTTTAATGATATGGTGCAGTGCTAAAGCCAGGTCATGTTTCGCCGTTACTTCGATTGACCCTACACCCTGCATGTCACACGAGCTATGGGAAAATCTAAGAATAAAAAGCGAAAAGTCAATAGTCCTAGCAGTAGAAGTGAAAACTTCCATCTTAGCAGTATTTTGGAGGACGCCAACGCAGTCTTGTACGGAGACATAACTGATAACCACCCCACCATGGCCGGTCTACAACAATCAACTCCTATAGTTGCAATACAATGGGAAAATAACAATAAGCTGCCCACAGGAGGGATGTCACTGGAAAACATTGCACTACAGATGGCAGACATCATGACAGAATTGAAGGTGATTAAGGACAGTCAAAAAAGCATTATTGAAAACCCCTCTAACTACAGAGGAATATGTATAACCAGTTGTATGGGGAAACTATTTAATGCCTTATTAGCTACAAGATTAAGCAAGCATATTGAAACTGAAGACAAATTGAGCCAAGAACAAGCTGGCTTTCGACCGGGGTACAGAACCACAGATCATATTTACACTCTCAAGTCACTAATAAACAGAAGCATAAGCAAGAACAAAAACGTGTATGCATGTTTTATTGATTTCAAAAAGGCTTTCGACACAGTGTGGCATAAAGGGATCTTCCTTAAACTACTTAAGCTGGGCATTGGGGGGAAATTCTATAAACTAATTAAGTGCATGTATAATAACACCAGACTAGGTGTATCTATAGGTGAACAGTATACAACCCCATTCAAGTCAAGAATAGGCATCCGACAAGGGGACAATTTGAGTCCAATACTCTTTAACATATTTATCGATGATCTAAAAGATGATCTCAGCGAATGCTATAACCCAGGAAATGTTGCTGGACTGAGTCATATCCTCTATGCTGATGATCTTATCCTCCTATCAACATCAAAAGACGGTCTACAGCACTTGCTGCATAAACTCGAAAGGTACTGCTTAAAATGGAAATTACATGTAAATGAAAACAAATCAAAAGTTGTTGTCTTCAACAAATCTGGTAAAGTGGATAAAAATACAAAGTCCTTTATAAATGCCAACCCGATCGAGACTGTGAAAGAATACACTTACCTTGGTATCACCTTTGCTAACACTGGGTCAATGAAAAAAGCAATAGTAAATCTAAAATTGAAAGCAATGAAAGCAATGTTCTCATTGAAAGGTGCACTTTCGTCACAAAACTTATCCTCACCTCTCCTATATTTAAAACTGTTTGACAAAGTGGTAAGGCCAATACTCCTCTATGGCTGTGAAGTTTGGGCCCAAGAAATATTCAAAGAAAAGAAAATGACCCTGAACAAAATTAACCAAATGCCTTTTGAGCAAGCACATTTGAGAATGTGCAAATGGGCACTGGGTTTGAGTAAACACGCCAGCAACAATGCTAGTCGCAGAGCTCGGTCGTTATCCTTTATATTCTAACATTGTTAAACAGGTACAACGATACTGCCAAAGATTTGGAAATCTACCAAATAACAGAATAGTTAAACTCACCAATGTTGCAGAACTGACAATAGGGGAAAAAGGTTGGCCAGGAGCGATTAATACTATGTTAACAACTTGGGATCTTCACAGTGAAAATGTCCCAGGGGTTCAGCAAATCCAAACACATTGCAATATTGAGGAAAAAATCAATGCTAAAATTGAAAAAATGTTCTGGGAAGAGTTAACTGATCCACAAAGCGCCAAGTTAAAAACTTATAGTCTGATAAAAAAAGTCCTACAAAATTGAAAAGTACCTGCTAACTAATGCCCCTTAGTCATTAAAAAGGGAAGTGGCTAAAATTAGAGTCAGTGATCATATTCTGGAAATGGAAAGAGGACGCATACCAGACCTAAAACACCACGCGAGGAACGATTCTGTCCCCACTGTCCTGCAATCGAGGACGAAGTGCACTTCCTACTAGAATGAAGACACCATGTAAAAGAGAGGGAGGGCATGTTAAAACAATTCCCTAAATGTGACATGCATCACCTAGCAAGCAGTGACGAGAAGGTTAAAATCATACTAAGCCCAGAAAATGAGAAAGAATTGTACGCTGTTGGTAAATACATTCAGAGGGCAATTTCCAAAAGAAATGAGCATCTGCCACACTGAAGTAGCCTCTTCCTGCTATGTATTATATGAACCATAAGTATGGCACATTAGATACATATAGCTATAAGCCTATCAAAGAAAATGTGTGTTCCCTCAGTGTATTGAACTATTTACAATTGTAATAAGTATTTTAAACAACGTATACACTGTAATTAATAATCTTAAACACTGTATTAGTAGTAATCCATAGTGATGTATAACTATTTATTTATTTATATATTTGTAGTATAGAGGGCTAACAAATGTAACTGTCACATTTAATGCTCGAATAAATTATTATTATTATTATTATATAATACAAAAATGTGTGAACATTTGAAAAAAGATATCTCACATCTTGTACAAGAAAAAGTGAATGAAATGAAGAGAGATATAGAAGTAACAGTCAATACTCAAAATTTAAAGCTGAAAGCACTACAGGACAAAACACTAAAACTGACTCACGATTTGCAAGAAAAAGATAGAACTATTGATTCGCTTAAATGTAGAATAGAATCATGTTTGGATAGCCATAAGTCAGGTGTGGAAAATCCAGATATTTCAGTTATCATAACAGGTCTATATCTAAGTCCTAATGAAAATCTGGAGGACAAGGTGGGACAAATTCTGATGACCATTATGCCACCTGAATTTGAGCAAAGGCTGTGGACCTACCCAGGATACAGGAGTGCAAAAGACTGCAAAGCAGGACTAGAAAACCTGGACTTGTAAAGGTAGCCTTAGGCAGTATAAAAGAGAAAATACTAGTTTTAAGGCAGAAGCATAATATAAGAAATAGTACAGATGCAAGAATGCGAAAAGTACGTATACATGCCAGTAAATCCCACTGCGAGAGAGTTCTTGACAAAAACATGGAATTCTTGTTACAATATGTGCCAGAGGGACATATATGTTCTATATCACCAACCATGGGCTTATTAAAGAAAAAACTGCCGACAGGATGCGACAAGGTAATACAGGTACGGCTACTGCCACAAACAGCGCCCATATGCAGCTGGTCAACGTGGATCAAACTCGGGCCCCGTACATAAATACACCTAGATACACAAACCCAAGCGGACCCGAAACCATCTTTCAAGCAGTGCCAGTGAATGGAATGAGAACACCAGTAAACAGAATTAGGACCCCTCTCATACGCCCACAGCATGCTGTATCACCACCATTGACCATGAATCACTAGGACAGGCAGCCCTTCTGCCAAGTTTTGGACCACAATCAGTTTAACACAGATATCGCACGCGAGGAGGTAGAAACCTCGCCCACCATAGACAAATGCTCAGCTTTGGTAAAAAAAGATGAAGTTTCGGAGCTAAGTTTTATTTCCTGGAATGCTACAGCATGTGATAAAACGTACTTTAAGGAGTAAGAAGCGACTATATTGTGCGTTTGTGGATTATAAATCCGCTTTCGATTCCATCGATAGGCCAAGTTTATGAAAGAAATTAAATAAACTCGGTGTCCAAGGTAAATTGCTCCAAATTATAACAAGGCAGCAAAGCTGTCAAATGTACAGACAAAAAACAGAAAAAAAAGATGCAAAAGAGGTCATTTTGTCAATTTTGATGCAACAAAAAATAATGCTTATAAGANTTGTTAAGTATCATTTGTAAAAATTTCAGAAATATTTGACAAGATTTGACAAAATTATTAGCGTTTAACTATTTTAAGTCACGGAATTTGCTAGTCTTTTCAATGTAATTTTCAGTTTTACCAAGTATATTGTCCCAACAAACACTTTTCATTAGACACAGGCAACTGATCAGCTTACCTCAGATTATTAAAGTTATTAAATTATGAAATTTGTTAAGCTTAATTGACCTGATAGGCCCTTCATTGTTATCAGAGAATGGCAATATGTACATGCTCACTCTATATTTTACAGGTTTGTGCATTCTACCAAAATGTAATCTGGAGGATTCATTGTGAAAGCAGTAAATCATTTTAATTAAAATACACGTATATTTGTAAGTCAAATATAATTCAGTTAAAAAGTAATTTGTATCACTATGCCATTGACATTTTTGCAAGTGACAAGTGTCTGTTCACCCCATCATAAAAACAGGGTTTTTTTTAAATGAATAGCTCTGTGCATATGTCATATTGTTAGATTGAAGAAAATGTATGAAAACATTAAATAGGTTGGTAAATATTTTGGATGAATTCCATATTTGTCCCATGTACTGGAAATCCGTGGAAGATAGTAAAGATGGTAATAAACAAAAGTAGTTTAATACCTGCCACACCTGTCTCTAGACAAATATATGCTTCATACAAAAATGTTAGTTGTTTAACCTATATTTATGTCGTAAAGTTAAAGTGATGTTTTCTTTTTTCTCAGAATGGGTGCCCCCCAAAAAAACTGCTGACTGACCAGGGGTCGGAAATTTGTAATGAGGTAAATGTCTTATAATATGATTTAAGTATTATTAAGTCTTTGGCATAAATTGGAAACTGGAAAGGATACAATCACCACTCGTTTATGTTATGCCAAATATGATAAAGGTTTTAGGGTGAATATTGGCTTCAATCTTGTTGGCATGCCTATGAATGTGTAACTGATTACCAGTGATATCTGTTT